ACTCAGACGCTGCAGACGGACTCAAATCTCAACGACATCTTCACCCACGGCTGCAGTGCGCGGCTGCAAGGCTCTGGTGCAGACTGCCCCGTTGTGTTGACGAACCCAACGTCTACCAACCCCACGTGCTTCCCTGGTTGGGCGGAGGTGATTCTGGAGAGCGGCGAGCGTGTGCAGCTGCGGAACTTGAAGACTGGCGACCGCGTGCTTTGCCTGCAGGCATCGGCCGGCAACGCCCTCGGCTACTGTGAGCTCAAGACCTTCCAGCACGTGGAGCTGAACGGCACCACGACGTCTGTCGAGCTGCACTACACGGACAAAGACGGCAACCCTGCGCTGATGTCCGCAACACCGGACCACTTTGTATTCCGCGCGGACGAGGACGTACACCTCGCTGACGGCTTGACGGTGCAGCCAGCAGGCGAGTTCATCTTCGCTGGCGACTTTGCTGTTGGCGACCGCCTGCTGCGCTACGACGTCGACCTCGGTGTCATGTACACGGTCACCATCACCAGCATCTCGTTCACCATCGAGCCAGACTATTTTACGCCGCTGACCGACGATGGCTCCACACTCTTTGTTGAAGACGTGTTTGCGTCCTCGTTTGCACTTCTGGAGAGCCCCGATGTCATCCGCCTGGTCCTGGCGCCCATCTGGCAGAACGACGACGATCGCTTCACAGAGCCGACGGCAGGCAAGGACTTCCCCGAGGGCCTGCACCCGTTCACGACGCAGCTGTACTCCATCTTCCTTGCCGCTGAGATGAGCGGCCAGACGATTGACGTTGAGGGCATGGCCACCGCCATCGCCCAGCAGCTCGCCGTCGGCCACGTCTTCACGCAGCAGGAGATGCTCCAGCTCGTGCCAAACTACATTAACTGAGGATGCGTGCCTGCGTGTGTGTATGACTGTGATTTGTGTACGTGCGTGTTTTGTGTGTGATGTGCGTGTGATGTGCGTGTGATGTGCGTGCGTGTGTGTACTGTAAACTCTACGCATGCACATGCAAACACATGCAAGTGCATGCATGCTTTCCCATATTCACACTTGTGTCTGTCTCTCCGGACTCTTCCCCCGTGCTGACTGCTCCTGTGTCAATCTCTTCACCTCTGATCAACGCGAGCGCGAGTCTCTGGGTAATCATCGTCACCACCGCATGGTGTAGGTGCACTCCTACTAGGATGATACAGCAGTTGTACTCCTCAAGCGCCACACACAGTAAGCA